AAAATCCCTTTAATATCATACAAACATTAGCCTCCTTTAGCTTAGCGGCGGTGACATGAAGTCATGTGACCGTGCTGTAGTTCCTTTATAGCCCAACATTAGCCACCTTTAGCTTAGCGGTGGTGACGTGAAGTCATGTGACCGTGCTGTAGTTCCTTTATAGCCCAACATTAGCCACCTTTAGCTTAGCGGTGGTGATGTGAAGTCATGTGACCGTGCTGTAGTTCCTTTATAGCCCAACATTAGCCACCTTTAGCTTAGCGGTGGTGATGTGAAGTCATGTGACCGTGCTGTAGTTCCTTTATAGCCCAACATTAGCCACCTTTAGCTTAGAGGCGGTGATATGAAGTCATGTGACCGTGCTGTAGTTCCTTTATAGCCCAATATTAGCCTCCTTTAGCTTAGCGGTGGTGACGTGAAGTCATGTGACCGTGCTGTAGTTCCGTTATAGCCTAACGTTAGCTTTTCACCTCAGAAATCATAAAGTGGAGATTATCCTACTGAAAAAAACGTGTCAGTATCATAAACATTTATTTGACACAGATTATTTTTGCAACAATCAAAATCACATAGAAATCCCATTGAACCAGGTAACACAATTTCAAACATTTTAAATCAAGAAAAAAAGCTACGATTTGCGTTGACAAAAGTTTTGGTTCCTCTAACGTGAAACTGTGAATCCAACTCAACACTTTCCTTAGCTTAATTCTCAAGGTGCTAAAACAACAAGGAAAAGTTGATCTAAGTTTCTATTCCTAAAATCTATCAAGGTCAGAACGAAGATCCCAAATACAGCAAGTCATAACGTTATTTGAACCCTCAGATATTCACAGATGACTAGTGATTTTTGTTTCTTAGTGTTTGTCTTTGTTCTCTTTAGTCGCTCTCACTGCCGCTCTCTGACACCACGTAGCAGTTGTTGTTCGTCCCCATGTTTTCCTGGAAACACACACCTGAAACGCACAGAGTACAGACATCAGATACTATCTCAAAAATAGTTTAAATAGAAATGGAGCTGGTTTTTCATTGTGTTTTTTCATCATTCTCACCGTTTGGGGTTCTGTCTTCAGTCTCAAAGTCAATGTGCTCCATGTCGTAACTCACAAAGATATTCTGTGGAAACAACGATTTTTTTTGTAAAATACACGCTGCCATTTTTTACATTTAATTATGGGAAAGAAAGGATTTAAAGGAACCACTGCAGCTTCACTTTACATTTAAAAAGGTCTCCTATTATGCTATTTTTAGGCTCAGAATTCTACGAGATACTCAGCTAAATGCTGCCGTGATGAAACGCCATATCATGTTCCAAACCACATCAAGGATTGTCTCTGAAACAGTTTGGAGCTCAAATGCTTTTTCTCTCTCAGGTTTACGACAAGATGAGTTCCTTTTTATTTCCTGCTTCTTTACACATGCTCTCTCCAGTACAGGTTAGCTCTGAGTGTTAGCCATGCTAATGTAAACAAAGACCATATTACGTCCAAAACACGTCGCTCATTGTTTCTGATAGCAACGTTTCTGATAGTGCCGTGGGTCCACATGTCCGATATTACGTCATATCGGACGCAAATCTGGATCAGCTCCGTTGTAGCCCCGTTTTTAGAGATGTGGTTACGGAGGAAAAGAGAGAGGGTTTTATTTTCTGAAACTTTGTGAGTTCCCTGACACACCAGGGACACATGTTGACATTGAAAAGTGCCTTTTGCATGATAGGAGACCTTTAATAACTTCAGCGAATAGTCAGATTATTTGTTTAACAATGTGACTACCCGATCTGCATCCCTGCTCGATTTGCATTGCGCATGTGCGAGATGGTCCGCCATATTGGACAACTACGTACGGCAACCCAAATAGGACATTTGACGTAGTGGCGTTTGGCAAAGCAGAAAAAAAAGAAAGAAAACAAAACCCGACAATATTAATCTGAATGAGAGAGATGAGTTATTGTTATTACAACGTCACTTCACTATTATTTAACAACTCCTTTTTTTGGGTCCTTTTATTGGGTTGAGTACATTGTCAGAATAAGTGAGAAATGGATTTAACTTCTGTTAGACAGCTATCATTCTGAAGAAATATTGACTGTGAATGTATGCAATATGTATGGCATTCATAATTTATATCTAATTACATTAATTGTGAATGTCCTTCATTTTATTTCAAATAAAATAAATAACAAAATATTTTTGTATAGATATTTGAGACTTTTATGACTCGTGCATGCACGATGCAAATCAGGCAGCCGTCTAGACGTCAAATGTCCTATTTGAGTTGCCGTATGGAGTTGTCCAATATGGCGGACC